CGAGCCACCTTATATATCTATTTTTAAATCCATACGCAGACATTTAACGCATTTCAAAATTCGGATGAATTATCACGAATATTAAATTAATTACTATATCGAACACTATTGAAATACGCGAAAATGATTCAAATATTATTGTGATTCTTTGATATTGGAAATTGTCGAGAATTCATCGCCGGTGTATAACGAATCGAAAATTTTCTATCGAATTAACGTCCGGGAATATATCGACGTTTCAGAATTAAAATTCGTGCACGAGTGAAATTCCGTGTGGAATTTCGGCGGATATTTAGTCGAACGAGTGTTTGCGCGAATGAGAGTGCATCGTTTCCGGAAGCGAATTTCTCAAACATCGGCCCTTGATATCATCGAGCCGGTTACACTTCATCGGAACGGATTAACGAGGGCTCGAGTAGCTTGCTATGTTTTAACGCGATTACCCGCTAGTTCTGAACCTAGCCATCTACCCTGGCCATAACCTCTATCCGCCTAATCGCGCAGACAGGAATTTCTGATCATGAAAGTCGTTTAAAAATGGGAATCTTCCTTTATAGGTGAAAATACATAATAAATCGACTATCTTATGATAATATTTTTCACGTAGAATTAAAATCATTCTAATTTTAATTACTATCGAAAAATTTTATGAAGTTTATCAAGATCGATAGGAACTTTGGGAATTTAATTCTAGAGTCCCTAAAGTTACTAAAATTCTCCAAGATCTTTTAAAAATTTAGAATCTTATATTATATTTAAAATATTTAATATATATTTATATTTAAAATATTTAACCTAATTATTATATTTAAAATATTTAACCTGAGCTGTCGATAAGATAGATAAAAATATCTTGTGATCACTAGAGTTACTAGAATCTCTTATAATTTTTTAGAACTCTATATTGATAATATTTAAACAACAAAATTAATATGTCAATTTTTAAGAATGAGAAATTTTCACAAGAAAATATTAAATTTAAAAATTTATTGGAAAAATTTTCAATAATCATTAATTTGGTTCTAAAAAGAGTTATTCGAATCTTTGAAGCAGAAGGAAGGGAAGTGTCCCTGTAGGACTCTCTGAACATTAGCAAAGTTTTTGAACAAAGTTTCCTCCCAAGAGTTCCTTGAGATTTCTAACGCGATTTGCTATCCCCTTTCCAACAGGCTTCGGGAAAAGTTTCAAATTCATTAGACGCAGTGAAATTATTCGCCGTTTAATAAGCGGCTATAAACGTGCCACGTAGCACTCTGTCGACGTTGGGAAAAGCTTAAAAGCTTGGAAGGCTTTTAGATGGCACGCTTGAGCCACCAAGGATCATTAGAGTTTATCAATATTTGCGATCGAGTTTTAATCTCGAAAAATTAAATATCTTGTGACAGTCGGCTGTTCCACAAAAAAAAATACGACACTTGGATTTTTTGTTGAAAAAAGAACGAAGAAAAATGGTGTGAAAGAAGCTGGATTAAAATAAATAGAAAAAAGGTGAGAGATACTTAGAACAGAATGAATGAAAGGAAAAGAAAAGAAGAAAAAAGAAGCTCTATTAAATTAAAAGTACGGAAAAGAAGAAGAAAGGAAAAGACGTGAAACGAATAGATGGGAAACGAGCACGGTCGCTGCTAAATATTTGTCCTTGACGTTTCACTTTTCATGGATACAAATTGAGAAGAAATAATAATCGTTGAATAAATATAAAAAATATAATTCTTCGAAAATATAAATTTAACGAATAATCATATTCTATAAATATAATTAATGAATCTGAAAAAGTTAGACAGAAATTTATTTAATTATTAATCGATGGATAATAAATTAATAAAAATAATTACCTAATTTAAATCTATTCCAAATTATAGAAGTATAATATAACATTAACAAAATTTTTAAAGCAATAAAATCAATGAAATGATCCCTATTTTAAATAATTACTAGATTTTTTTCTTGATTTCTATCTAATTGCACAAAAAGTCTACATTATATCTATAAAATGTTTAATAAGATACATATCAGCTCCCATGGTTTACCATGTGAGGGAAAAAAAAATTATGGAGATAGCCAGGCGGAAGAGAGAATGGTCGATGAAGGGTACCGGAAGCCGAGAAGCGTGAAGACGAAGTTCACGCTTTCTCGAGCGCTCAATATCGGATACTTGTCTCGAGAGAGAGAAGCTTTCGTCGTTAACAAAGAGACCAGGTCCAAGTTATGCGATAATTACTCCATCCGCAAAGGAAAAGAGAGGCGTAGATAGCAAGATGTCTGAGTTCCAACTCCCTGTGGGTTTCCGTGTCGCGAATCCATTCTTTTAAACGAACGGCTGGCGCGAGTCCAAACGCGAAACACGAAATTTCGCGATAATTTTCCAATGATCATCTTGAACGCCATCTCTTGACGTCTCGTCTGTTGTACGTCGATTCAATTAATTGCCAAGATGGCATAATAATTTCGAAACTTTTACAAACTAATTTATCGTGTTTGTCACACGATTGAAAGACAAAAAATCGCAAAATTAAATAATCAAATTTTATTTCGATACGAAATAATTGATATAATATACTTTTTTATGTCACAGAAAGATTCAAAGAATTTTTGATTCGATTAGATTAGATTAGGTTATCTATCGATTGTCAATTTGGACAATTGAGGAAATATTTGCTATCCGAAATAATGACATAAAACTGTGAAATGAATTAATACTATGTTTATAGGTATCAATAGATAATAAAGCGAAATTTTCATAAAATATGAAAAAATAAAATTTTTAAACATTTGTAAAATAAATATTATTTTACCTATATAGGAATAATTATAATTTGTGTTTATATTCTAGTTTCTATTACTGTATAGAAGTTCGTAGAAACAAATACTTTTTGTAGTATAATGCTACTACTGTAAGTAGAATTAATTACGACAAATCTAATCACTAAGAAGACTTACAAGACGAGAGGTTAAGTATCGAGCAAGGCATCACGCATTTCTAGTCTCTCCCAGTGAAATCCTTTCCTTATCGATCGAAGGAATCTGGCGTCAATGATCAATTAATTATTAATTAACGATATCGATGCTTGAATAATTAACGACGTAGTCGTGGCTAAACGAGTATTAATAGGAAGTCAATTGTTCCAGAATCGAGATTTATTTTTCACGACGATGAGTCGCATTCTCGTCAGTATCAAACCGAGCAAATATTTGTCCTTGCTCTTTGAACTGGGGAAAAGTGGCTGTTAACCCTTGCCTTCTTTTTTATATTTGACCAAAGCACCAGCGAAATTAAAATTCCACCTCGAGGGAGGAAGGGAACTTGAAACTAAAATACACCATCGTTCTTCTGTTTCCGATCTCTGGGGAAGAGAAACGCGCAAATTAACGCTACTGGTGAAAAGAATAAATATTAAATGCATTGTGAAACCTTTGAAATTTGATCAAATTCAACATGAATTTGCGGTAAGATGAGACATCTGTGGATAAGAAAATTGTAATATTTTAATTTTGTTAAACTTGATACTAATACAGATATATTCGTGATTATTTATTTCAAATATCTTATTCTATACAAATATTATAAGAGATATTATAACATAAAAATATAAATTTTTTAAATAAAATAGGTTAGAATTAAAATAGAGTAAAATAAGTTAAAAAAATAGATCGCTTTTTTCTGAAAAGAAAACAACTTTAATAGTTATTAAAAATAATGATCGGCATAAAAAAAAGATTACTTACATAGAAAAAGAAACTGAAATTTTATAAAAGAAAAATTATTTTGTTTGCCAGCGAATCGCTTAATCGTGGCTTTCAGGCCACGTTAATTAGAGTGACGTTTGCCGGAGAAAGTCGCGGCAAGGTGATCCATCGTGGCTACCGTGACAGCAAGCTATACATTATTCTCACCAGCGATAATCCATTATCAGGGTACCAGAATCGCGATATTCGTTTTCGACCAGACAACCTAGCCAAAGTATAATCGCGAGATTAATCTCAGTCCTCCACCAATGATTTTCTTCTCAAATATGACTTATTCAATGGTACGATCTTTTCCATTTGTGAAAATCATCCTTTACGTATGCCATTTCAACCATGCAGTATGAAATATCTCATGTAAAGTTTACTTAATGGCGATAGTAATCAAATTTGTCGCCAGATGGCTCTCTAAAGGATTCGATTCATGCGAATCTGCAGTGCAGTTCTGGCTGCGAAAGATCAAAAGTTGTTCTATATGCTCGACTTGCAATTTCTACTAACGCTCGAATATACTTGCAAAGTACGAGTTTCGTGAGAAATATCGTTTCCATTCGTGAAAATCTTTCCTCTTATTTTTATTTCTAATTTACTTATTACAAATATTCAATGAATGTGAAATATTTTCGAGAATTTCTTTCCTAGAAATATTATAATCGATTCTAAAATGTGACATTTTCGGTGATCATTGACACCAGATGGTGACATAACAAATTTTATTCTAGCGAAAAAAAGCGAAAGTCGAAGAGAATAGAATTCTAAGAAAGCATATTCGACATCTTTTGGATCGTGCAATTTTAATTCCACCAATTTTAATTCTGTGCGCAGCTCTCTGACTAATTAGATTATGCAAAACAGTTGTTACGCGTTCTCGACGTGTCTGGAAATTTTTAATCCCTCAATCTAGCTATCGATGAAATTTTCTCGTTCAATTATATAGTTATAATTTTGATTTTTTCTTTTTTTAATATTTTAATTTTATTAATGATTGATCTTCTAATCATGATTCTTAATTTCTTAATTTCTTATGATCTTAATTTCATAAAAATTCGAAATTTTAAATCTTAATTAATTATCAAGCAATTTTTCAAATATCTTAGTTTTAAACAATTGAAGTTCGACTTTAATTTTCTTTAAATTTCTGAGTAGAATCTTAGAAATTTTTCTGTTTCTTTCTCAATGTTCTAGAGTCAACCTTAAGAAAGAAAATTCGTGATAAAATTATTTCATGAAAAAGTGGAAAGTTTCGAACGACTTACCCTTCATGCCGAGGACCAACGCCGTTCTCCCGGTCAAAGGAACGATCTTCAATTCTCCAACCAGGATTCTTACACTACGCTCGAGGAACAACTTTCAAACTTCACCGATCACTGGCGATCGTTTCTCGATCGCGACACTGCACACCAACGATTCGTCGATTCAGTTTCAAAAACATAAAACACACTTTCTGAAAAAAAAAAAAATTGGTTAGGTTAGGTCAATTTAGATATCACTAATCCTAAGTTATAATTATAAATATTATTTTGTAAAACACAAGAATCTTAAACTATTAAATGTATAATTAATTATAAACATAAATATATAAATATATTTTATTGGAAGAAAATCAAAAAGAAGAATTTTAATAGAATTTTTAAAAAAAACTTGAATAATACAAATATACAATTAAAAAAGCTAATGCCATATTATTTTGAAATCACATTTCCATACATTTAATGATAAAAGTTAAAAAACAAACCAACTATTTCTTAATTTCATTATATTATTTTATTTTTATTTATCCTTTGTATAAACATATTCAAAAAAGATTTATTTATTTATATATTTATATATGTTATTATTTATTTATATATTTTTAATTTAACCTATTCATTTAAGAGAATGAGAAATATAAATAAATATAAATAAATTCGCAAGAAATTAATTTTTTTTTCAATTTTTTTATTCAAAAAATACATTTATAATTTTTAACTTATATTTGATTTTTAATTTAATACTGCATTTATTAAACAAAATTATTTCTAAACTATACACTATTTTTTATATAAAAAAAAGTTATAGAAATTATACAAATTAAATTTAATTATCTTTACAAATTTTGATTAATCAAATCATCTTATGCATCATTTTCAATTATATTGTTAGTAAAATTTTTGAACCTTCATCTCATCATTAGAATCTCTGAAATATTTTACGAAATAATCTGAATATAAATTAATAGTGGATATAACAATGGCAGCATTACGCAATATCTCATAACTCGCGAATCAAATTTCCGAGAAACCAGTACATTAATCGATTTTCCAAATACGCGATCACACATCGGATTTAGAATTTAAACGAGAATTAAATCTTTATGGAATTCACACGTACCGTCAAGAGACAAGTTAATAGAGGCTGCGATAAATTAAAATCGCTACTCGTGTTTAATTGGGTTATTACGATTTAATGTTATGCAAAGTTTATAAAAAATAAGCATGTCAGCCTCGAGTTACTATTTAATGAAGGTTAGGTTATAATAGGATCACGCATGAAATTAAAAAGCGGTATAATAAAGTGGATAATTACTGGCCTCTAATGGTGGTTGAAGTTACTTGATATTAAAATTAGAACACTCAAGGAATAACGAGTAGATATAGGTGTGTGGCGTTGATTATGATTTAGAATTGTTATAAAGATTAGTCACGCATAAAATGAAAAAACTGGAATAATATCATGGACACAAAAGATGAATTATGACAGGCACTAAGAAATTAAAATGTTTGAAAAATAATGAAATTAATTAAAATTCACGAAAAAAAAATGTAATTAAAATCCTCGAGGAGGATTATATATAATATATATATATAATAATATTAAAAAAATTAAAAACGAAAATTAATATGAAAAATTAAAAAAAAAATTTAAAAGATAAAATTGATGTGTGAAAATGTTAGGTTAGTTACATGATATTAAAGTTGAAATGGATTAACGCAAGTTGGAGCAGCTATAGGCAGTTGCACGTAGGTCGTGGTGAAACAGAATTGTTGCGTTTAGGTATTAGAACAGATTAGCACACCGGGGCCACCGGATCTGAACGAAATCCTATTAAATCAATTAATACATAAGCTATAAGCAAACAATCATTAAGCTCTCATTCTGGAAAATTATGTAGTTCGAAAATTCGATAATTTACAACGTCTTAAATATTTCGAGTCTAACTTTTTATTTTATAATATACTTTTTAATTCATAAATTATATTAAATGCATTTTAAAAATACATTACATTAAATAAAAGTACATTTTTGTTTTAAATATTAATAAATGTATATCAGCTATAAATGTCTACCAACTTCAAAAATAACAAAAAAAATCTAGTGGAAAAAAATTAATTATAGAAAAAAAAATTCGAAAAGATACAAGATTGATGTAAAGATGCAAATATATTTTTTAGAGTTATTTTTGTTTAATGGATACTATGTGGAATGGATTCAGAGTAAAAATTATCGAATAGTTACTTTTAAGTAACTAGTAGAATTCTCTAGTGAAAAATAACAATAGCAATTCTCAAGTCTGATTCTCAAATATATTCGTATTTTCAATAAAAAATGCTGGATAATTATGATTCTGAATAATCGAGATCTTATTGTACCTCAAATATAAAAATATTTCTATTTGCATAGTATTCAAGTCAATTTAAAAATCAGAGAGTTTCCAAAGGGCAAAGCAAAAATTCAATTGTAAAATTTCTCCGCAAAACTGTCACTTTTTTAATGAACAAGAGGAAGTGCAAAGATGTAATGAAATTTTTCGAGGTGCCACAAAGAAAAGAAATTCGATAAAGCATCCATAAGAAGTTCGAAGACTAGGGAATAATGGATCAATTTACGACCATTCTGACAAGAAGAACACGAAAATGAGCGTAACTTCTATAACATCGAAAAAGAATGACAATTAGAATATTTAAGTTTTTAACTTAACTTTTCAAAATTCATTTTTTTCTTTATTTTTTTAAGAATAAACATTTTAAAATTAATGTTGAAGTTAATAAAAAAAGAATATTAAAATCAAGTTAACAGGTGAGTTTTGAATGAATTTAATAAAAGATAGAATCTTTAAAAAAAATTGTAGTTAAAATGTTTTGTTAAATTTTGTTCCAGCTTGAAAACTAATTTAGATTTCTTGATAATTTTTATGTAATATTAAAATTACTGAATCGAGGAGGATAATTGAAATAATATTAACCTCAATCTTCATTGAAGCACATTAATTCTTGAAAATTTCTATTTTTATGATTAATATTTTATCCTGTATACCTGAAAAATAAATTTTAAATTTTATTTTTTATTGCTTTTTTCATGTGACAATTCTTCTTTGGTGAAAATCGAAAAATCTGAAACCAAATTTCGACGATTCATATGTTGAGAAAAACGATATATTTGACGTCATCAAGCTCTTTTGCCCTACTCTTTGAACATAAATTAATTTTCCATCTGGATTCCCGCTCGTTCAGCGTGCAAATAATCTCGAATAAGGTTAGTAGCCACCGAGGAAACTTTAAAAATCCTGGGAAACAGAGCGGACGAAGTTGAACAACTATACTATTAGAACGATCCAGATTACACTCCATCGATCCTTCTCTTTCCCAAGAATATTGCTAACAACGTATTTGATCATATGGATTCGTGAAAATCTGTGGAAAATCTGATAGTGAACTCATTTTTTTACGATCACGAAAATGATATAAAGAATAGAAAATTAATAATTTGCAATTTAACAAATTTCGAATAGTTAAATATTTAAATCAGAATTTTATTGAAGTTTGTATTTTAGAATTCTCATTTTCATAAAGTTTAATTACAAAATTTTTATTTCCAAAGATCTTGGAAAGTTCAAGGTTTGATTCCATATTCCACGGTTAGTTTGGAACTTGGATTTAATATAATTGGAGTTCTTGAGTTTCTCTCGATTATTTAAAGTAATTTAACACCTTACAAACTTTACCGTGATTAAATTACCCGAAAGATAACCATCCGAAATTTTACGCGAAATACATATAAAATTATGAGATAAAAATAATCTTCTATTTTTACTATTTAAAATTAACTTGTGATTTTAATATATTCGATTTTTTGGAAGTTTTAAACGTATTATCGTTTATTAACTTAACTATTAATTTAATATAATCATAAAAATTGATATATCTTTCTAAACCAAATTTTATACAAAATCAAATTTTTATTAATGTTATTATTAGTATTTTATAAAAGAAATAGAAACTTATTTTATTTTTCAAATATCAATATATTATATTTTTTTTATTTAGATATTTTGTATTTTCACATACGTCATATGCATTAATTTCAAATAATAAACAATCCACTAGTTAAAAATTATTAAAATTATTTTTAGTGTTTTTCAATAATGGATGCAAAATATGTATAGACAATTTTAAAATTAATTTACATTAAAAATAAATTTAAACTTGATAATATCGATTTTTTTCGAGGAAATTAATTTAAGTTAAGCTTTTCAAATATATAAAAAAAAAAAAACATTCTCAATGCTAATTTACATAAGAAAGAAATTTAAATTTGATGATATGAGATTTTTTTAGAAGAGTTAGGAAATCTCTGAGACACCAAAACATTTATATAACAAAAATGAATTATAATTAAAATTAAGATCAAAGAAAAATTTAAATTGTTACTCACCTGTGTAGATCACCAGCAACGAATGCCAGAATTCTTCCAAAAACCCAACACGTCACAAAATCACACGTCACAACGTCATAATTCGCGATCAATCTATTCTCTCAAAAAAATCACTTTTTGAATCTTTGAATTTTTCATTTTTTCTTTCTTTTTTTTTTTTTTTTTTTTTATTTTTCACCCTTTCAACCTTTTTCCCCCACTGAATTTAACTTAATTATCACCAAAATAAGAACAGATGATTACACATCGTGGCGAATCTCGAAACAAGGATATTTTCATGAATCTCTCGACCACTTATCGATCTTGCCACCCTTTAATCCCTCTCGTTTCCACTGGAATGATCGTGCTCTAATTAATTTTCTTTTTTAAGGCTACCTCTTCGATTCGGGGATCGTTAAACACGCGAGTGGGTCAAGGACGCGGAGTGAACTTGTACCCTCGTCGCGCCTAACTAAGGGGAGCAGTAGTTGCAAGGGAGGAAGGTAGAAATGGCCACTTTGATATCGATTGTCGGTTGTTTTCGAACAATTTCCAAGGAGAATGAGATCTGATAGTATGAAAAATTCGTATTTTTTATTATTTATTTTTTTATTATTATTTTTTTTTATTATGAGAGGAAATTATTTTCGCTTCGATTCGACTAATCAAAATTTTTAATATTGTTCAATTTTTGATTTCAGGAATCAAATTTTAAACTTGGAATATTTTTTTTTAACGCCGAAAAAAATTTTTTGATATTATTGAACTTTTAATTATAGTAATTTTTTAGTAAAAAAATATTAAGAATTTTAAAAGTGAAATCTATTATATAAAAAGTTTGTGTGATTTTCTTTCTATTACGAATGGAAAGGAAATTACTTTTATTTTTATATGACTAATCAATATTATTCAATTTTTTATTTTTGGAATCATAAATAGAAATATAAAACGTGTCAAATAACAATGTAATCTAAATTTAAATTTAAAAATTTCTTAAAAGGAAGATAACAAATTTTTCATTTTATATTAAGTTGAAAAATATCGTGGATAATATAAGAGTTAAAAAAGAATATGATGAAATAGAATTTCAATCTCTCGCCTAAAATTTCAAGCTTGCTTTCTGTTACAGAAATTGAGTCGATTTTGAAACATAATCGTTCACATATCCAGAGACATCCTGTTTTCAACGCATCGTTACATTCATATGATTAGCTTGATTATATCATATTTACACTAGCGCCAAGACTGGTCTCTAACTAAGATTAATTCGCTTCGAGTTTCTGAAATGACCCAGTTACGAGTTAAAATTGAAACTCTACCATGCTAAAAATCCTCGAAGGAAGAAACTTTTAGTCCAGGTAATAATTACTTATCATCAAAGACTTTAAAACCGTCCAATAAGCGAAAGAATTAACTTTTCAATTTACGTAATACGTTGCACAGTTTTATGTAAGATGGAACGAGTACTTCTACGATTCGAAAACGGAAGAAGAATCATGCAAAGTGACCTATCGAATGAAGAGGAAGAGGGGAAAGAGGGTTAATTTCCGCTCGATCGAAGGGTCGTTACTCGTCCTCGACCCGTCTTCGAAATAAGGACACGCAAACAAGGACACAGAGCAATCCAGTTTTCTCGTGAATTCGTCCTTGACTTTTCACCTTTCATCTTTTCACCAAATTTTAAGGTCCTTAGAATTTCTTTTTTACGTAACGTATAATACATGGTACACGTTTCTGCAAAATTACTTCTTTACTGTTTCTGTGAATTGTAAGAAGAATTAAAGATCATTGTGAAATCATGAGCTATATGAAAATTATATATGTATAAACAAAAGATACTATCTTTTAATTTCGATTTTTTTAATATTTGTCGAAGTTATCATTCTGAATAGTGATTATGAAGATTATATATTGATAGTCGTTGTTCAAAAAAATTATTTAACAAAAATGTTTCTTCGAAGGTTCTTTAGGTTAGATTAAACCATATCGAAAAAACTAATTTAAACTTAATGTAAATTGTTAAATCGATTAACAATTAAATAAGTTTTTATTTAATTTTGTTTTAAAATGAAATTAATTGATGTAAAACAAAAATTTATTTAATCTCTGATTTCTAGGTTAGGTTAATAACTTTTTGACAAACCATCAACTAAATCTTTCATAATGCTATTCAACGTAACAAATCTTGACGATACATAAAAAAATCTAAATCAAAAGATGATATCTTTCTGTAAATATAATTTATAATTTTCTGTAATAATCTATTAAATCTCGCAATCGTCACATTAAATAAAGTTAAATCGCTCGGACTTAACGCATCACAATATATGAGAGAAAAATTTTCATAGAAACCGTGAAACAATATTGTGGATAGAAAGAAGAATGGAAAAGAGAGCATTGGCTGTAAGAAAACACGTTCGTTTAGAGGGTTGTATCGGGGACAGTGGAGTGCTCGAGACCAGTGATTATTGTCAAAGACAAACGGCCGAGGGATCTCGAAGGAATTCTCGCTTCAAAGAACAACCCTCCTTGAGAAATTCTCGAGTGTTCGCTTTTGATCAACGACCACGTCAAGTGGCTGGAGCGCGAAACGAACGCGGGCACGCCGTTTCCGTTCCAAACTTCACTTTCCTCTCTACTTCCTCGCTGGACGAAGCTACGATCGAGTGACTTTTTCATCTTGTAGCTTCCACAGATGACTTTCTGTCAAACTGGTGTAAACTTTTTTCGTTACGAATTTTTTTTTTCTTCTTTTTCTTTTGGAAGAATTGATTGTAGCGGTAATATTATTAACTTTCCATCTCTTTTGACTGTGAATTATTCTCTTATTTTTATTTTGATACTTTTTTGAAGGTTAGATTACATTAATAGAATTATAGTGATTTGTAGATAGTGGATTTTTATATCAAATTTGAGCAATTTTTTTCTTTTTGATATTCTTTTTTTTTTGTGAAGAAAAAAATCAGTTGTATTGATAATAAAATTGTAATAATGATTAGAAATGAAGAGAAGTATTCGATGATTTCAAATTCGAGCAAACTTTCAATTTCTCATGGCTATTTTTTTAAAGAAACATAGATTCACATTGATAATGACCTAACAATAATTGATAGTGAAGAAATATTTAGTGGAAAACTTTTATTAGATCAAAAGAATCATAAATTCACATTGACAGTAAATTAACAGTAATAATGAAGAAATTCAATGAAAGATTTTTATTTCAAACTTTTTCTTACAAATTTTCCCTCTTTCATTTTGACGTTTCTTTTTTCAAAGAATTAAATCTTATATTTCTTTCAATAAAACTAGTTATACATTATACTTCTTCAAATTTCTCATTGAAATACAAAGAATAGATTCCTCTATTTATTGTCAAAAAAAAACAGAAAAAAAGAAGATTTTCTTTTTTACAGAGAGGCGAAGAAAAAAATTAGGTTAGAAGACCAAAAGAGAAAGTGTAAACGGGATAAAAAGTTGGTCAGTCCAGGAAGTAGTCGGTGAAGCTCCAATGCGAGACTAAGGAAGAAAAAAAAAAAGAAAAAAGATTCGGCGGATGGAAAGGTGAGGAGAAGAGTCGTCTCGAGACCAGCCACGAGGCAAAAAGGTAAAGCGCAGTGCGGAAATAATTCCGCGTCCTGCACTCGTGAAGGTCATCTCTGGAACGAGAACACTTGACCCGCTTGCCGTCCAAGGACAAACGCCATTATCCCGATTCCATTTCTTTTCGTTTTTAATTAACCTTTGCTCTCCATTCACCTATCGATATTTATAGTATATTTTCATTTCCAGGGAAAAAGGAATAGAGAAAAATTTTGGAAAAAGATTTTGGAGTTATTTTTTTTTTTTTGTGGAAACATCGACGATTAAACGATTTTGCATTCTATGCGAAGAAAAAAATGAAGAAGGATTTTGGAGAATCCAAAGTTGTTGAAGAAAGATTGTGGAATTATTTTTTGATTATACTTTGATTGAAGCATCGATATTTACGGTATTTTCATTTTCTCAAAGAGAAAAAGAATGAAGAAAGGTTTTGATTTTGGAATTATTTCTTTGTCAAGAATTCGATAGAAGCTTCGACGATTAAATGATATTGCACTCCGTGCGAAAAGAAAGATGAAGAAGGGTTTTGAAGAAAAAATGGAATATTTTAAAATTACTTTTTTTTTTGCCAGGAATGTTTTTTGCAACTTTCTAGGGAATCGTTTCGAGAATAAAGTGGAGAAATTGATGGAATAATTTAATCTCGATGATTAAAGAGAAAATACTAGACAAAAGTAAGAAGATTTCAAGAAATTTCCACATCTGTGTTGAGACGATACGAAAAGAGTAACAAGGTTATACTATTTTTAGATTTATAGATAGTAAATTGAAAGACGTGAGAAGGTTGAATAAGGGGTAATTCAATCACGAAGATTAAATTATCGATTTAACCGAAGATAAAATTTGTCCCTGGGAATATAGAAGATTCGAAAAGAATCGTATAATTTTCTCGAGACGTTCCCAACAGTCACGGAATTCTATTACGTTTAAATTTATCGACGATTAAATTGGAAACTGTATTATCGATGGAGTAATTTAATCTCGAAGATTAAATGCGAAAGCTTTCGAAGAATTCTGCGAGTTTCTCGTGGAGAAATCATTTCCAAATTTTCCTTTTAATTCGATTTCGATTATTCTCAAGAGAAAATAAACAGATGCATTGATTAACATCCAGTTTATCTTAATCTATAATAATAAAAATTATTTATTCGTCTTAAGTAGATTTCAATCGTCAAAAGAATTATAATTTCACGATGATTATAAAAATCACCTTTGTAACATATTTGTAATCCTATTAGTCTTAAAGAGTTGAAAAACAACTTAAAAAAAAGAATCAGAATAGAGCAATAAAGAGCTGTATTCTCCATCTATAATAGATTTCGATATTCTAAAAACACGATCCTGCGATGACAAACTTCAAAGTAGTAGAAATTCAAGATAGAAAATCTTTGAAATTTTCCTTTAACTGTTCTAATTTATTTTAATCTGTAACAACATATTTATTAATCCAATCTAATCTAACCTACGATAATGTAGATTACAGAATACATGGATATTTTGCAACAGATTTATTGTGTAAGAAAAATCGTAATAAATCCAATAAAATCTTCATAAGAATTACATTTGCAATTCTATTCTTCACTTCTGAAAAGACATTGAAATTACGAATAATTTCATTTAAGGGAAGATGATTCTCCAACGATTCGAAAAATTGCAAAAGCGAATTTACTTTTAAAAATAGAGAAAGTTGGCGATAAAACGTCCCTTTTCATTAAACTACCATCGCAATTTATAGATAGGAACACTTTCGACAATGATATGCAAGTTGTATTCCTCTGAATGGAACTGCTATACCTTGCACCCTTGATGGGGGCTGTTTACACGAGTACACTGACCCACGAGTACCCTCTTCTTTGTACTTTTCCTCCCATTCACTCGACGATTAAACAACGCGATACCTGCGACTCTCAATAAATATACGAGCAACCTGAGTGTGACAACCATTTCGTCGAGTGGCTTGATTCATCCGCCATCATTTTTTTACAGGATGCGACATCTTTCGCTCTTTTTCATTCGAATGTAAATGATGATTAATGGAGGGTTCAGAAACCAATCACTAATTGCTCGAAACTTGAGAAATCTCTTTATTATTGAAACTAATCGATTGAACAGTTTGCTCCGATAGTTTGATCACTTGACTTTTTAATTGAAAATTTTTGAAAACGATAATTTAAACAAAATTGTTAAGTTGGATAAATCATTCTTGAGTAATATGATACTATACGTTCCAAAAGTAATTAAGTAATGTATTAATATATAGAGGAGAATTTAAAACCTAACCTAATTTATTTATATATATTTTTTTTAAAAGAAAATTGATTCTTGATGAAAATCTATCAACATTCTTTAAAAATAATCTCATATATAATTCATCAAAAACTATTTCGTTCAAATTTCTAAATCGTTCTATTCAAGCAGGAAATAAGAATAAACTCAAAACAAATCATTTTACTTTTTTTCAGGAAACAAGAATAAATCAAAAAGGAGCAATAAAAAATCTAGAACAATCTCCAAATCTTTCTACTCTAATAGGAAACAAGAATACAACAAAAATATAAAAGAGGAGCAATAATTAAAAAGAAATTATTCTACTCTAATAAGAAACAAGAACAAACAAGATGGAGAAGCGATCGAAAAGCCAAAATCACCCTTCCTCCATCGCTCAGATTCGATCAAAAAAGAACCCTCCTCGAGGCGGCTTCGAAAAAGGGAAAAGTCACGGATGACCCCGTGACACTGTGCTCGACACGCGAGGTATCGATTGCTCGGACCGACAACAACGTGTCATCGTCTCGTTTCGCTAAAAACAACCTCGACTCCTCGAAATAAAGGGATCGTAAAAGGGAAACAGCGCGGCAGAAGAGAATATAAGAAAGAGAAAAAAGAAAAAAAGAAAAAAGACACGGCGCGTCGCGAAAGAAACTGGCAATCTGAAAATGTATATTCCGCGACGTATACCCGGCCGGTTGATTGAAAGTAGTTTGTCAGCGGCGTGCTGTCCTTCCATCAGACAGATTGCTCGAATTTCCGCGGCGGGATCGTTTTTAATACCGTGAAATCTCGCCTTCTCCCCAGCTGTGCCGACCTATTAGTCGGAGCCACGCGATGGGGAACAGACTTGGGGGAGAGGGAGGGATGACTTTTGATCGAGGCGAACGAGGGAGGGGGGTCAGACGAGAGTGGAAATGATTGAAAGTATGGTGGTGGAGCAGGGAGGAAGGTTGAAAACGTGAGAAAAGAGGAGGATACTAATGAAAGAAGGAGGAAACATGGGTTGGAAGTTTGAAAGGGTTTTATGCACGATCTTCCCTTCGAGGATGCGAATGATCATAATGTGCGAATGGGATATGGTTAAAACGGTTACTGAAAAATTTTTTCCGACGATGATGGAAACGATGATGCGAAAGTTCGAAGGATTTTTTCTCGAATGTAAGTATTATCCTCTTCGATGAAAGTAACGCACATAATGAAGGAGGAGGAAACGCAATTACGAGTTTCCTAACCTAACTTAACCTCATATTCGAAACACGTATGGAAGAATAGAAATTTGAACGATTTTAAAACCTAACCTAATTCACAAATAGAAGAATTATTTTCCTTTTCGAATCTTTCTCGACGAAAGTAAGTAAAACCTAACCTAACGCATAAATACGAACGATTTTTCTTCTTCGATTTTTGAGAACAATCGCATAAAGAAATGAAAATTCTTTTTTTTTTTAATTTGAGAACGAGAAGGAAGAATCGTTACGTTAATCAATGGAAAAAGGAATAATTCGAACTGTTGCATTTCAGACGATTAATCACGACACACGTAAAGGTGAAGAAGAAGCATTTTTTCCTCCCTCTCAGTGTTAAAATTCCCGTAAAGTTTAAGTGGATACGCGAGATCCTTCTCTCTTTGAAGAATCGGCGGACTGTTCGTTTCGATGGAGTTACGAGCGTCGAGACGAGTCTGACTGGAAAAGGGAAAAAACGGCCACACTTTTTCCTCGTTTCGATCCGATCAAAGAAGAGGAACCAGCTTTTTCCCTCCACGAGGGAATCCACAAAGGGACTATCGATCCTCCTTCTGCCCTCCACTTCGCACTTTCACACGTGATCGTTATCGAGATCTTGCTCCTTAATTCGAGCTTTTGCAATTCTTACTTCACATATATACATATCTTCCAAAACTACTCGATAACAATTTATCGAGAAAATTATTGAGAGTGACCAAAAATTATTATGTCATTAATAATAACTATTATTAAACTATTACTAGAATAGTAATAGATATTTAGATAATATATTCAACTACTCTCATCTTTTTTTGATAAATTAATATCAAGTAGTATCTATTTAATATTACCAGATAATAGTGTTTAGCTATCGAATAACCGTACTAATTATTGCAGGTATCGAATATCGTCGATTAATAACGAAGAAGCTTGGAAAGGAAAACTTTGATAAACGAAAGGCCGCCAAAGGCTATTGCGAGAGCTTGCGTCACCGCACGTCCTTGACCAGTCCTCGCGACCCAAACCCAGCCAACCCTTCCAAAATGCCAAAGGATCAACTCGCTCGCGTATACTCTCTCTCTTTCTCTCGCTCTCTCCTCAAAATCTAACCTCTACACTCTTTCAAAAATTCACCCACTTCGCACATCCTCCTTGGAAATCCTCCAATATATATATATACATATACATACATACATACATACATATATCACTACGAACCGAGAGAACACGAACGAGGATAAAACACGTATATACTTCCCGTAAACAGGAGAACGAGAAACGAAGCGTCTCCCCGTCTCTCTGTGCGACGATAATGATAATAGTAATGATAAAAAAGGGGGGAGGGGAGTAACGAGGGAGCGTGTCGCGTGTGTTGCGTGGCGCGCAACTGGCCCCGGTGTGCTCCGCTCGGTGCCTCGTCCGGAGGGCTTGTGACCCAGTTCGAGGGCCAGGAGAGTGCGCGCTACGGCCGGCAGCGCGTCGCGATACCTACTGAGCGGATCCAACCGTTTCAACCCCCCAGCTGCGCTCGCTCTCCACCCCCTCCTCCACCGTCCCTTCCACCGTCACCAGAAAGAGACAGAAAGAGAGAGAGAGAGAGAGAAAAAGAGAGAGAAAGGGACTTGCGGGTGAATGGAGAGAGAAGGAAGAGGCGCGAGTGTACGAGGGAAAAAAGGGGGTCTGGCAGGGAGGAGAACGGTGGCAACGTGGCTGGGATAGTTGGAAGAAAGGGTGAGTGAGTGGGAGAGAGAGGGAGAGGGTTTGTACATGAGTGAAAAAGAGATGTAGCAGCGGAAAAAAGGGAAGAGGATTTTTTGGAAGAAAGGGTGAGCGAGAGGGAGAAGAAAAGAAAGGGAGAAAGGGGAGAGATGGTTTTTTCCAAGAGAGAGAAAGAGATGGAACGTAAAAAAGGAAGGAAAATTCTTTTTGGAAGAAAGGGTGAAGTGAGAGGGAGAGAAAGAGTTTCTTCCTCGTGCGTGGATAAAAAGGAGATGCGACGCAAAAAGGAAGAAAAAGGTTTTTTGGAACAAAGGGTGAGCGAGAGAGAGAGAAGAAAGGGAGAAAAGGGAGAAGAGGATTTTTTGGAAGAGTGAGCGAGAGGGTTTCTGCCTGGTGCGTGAATGAAAGAGAGAGATAGGAGAGTGGAGAAGTTTTTTGGAAGGAAGAGAAGGGCGCAACGTGGCTGGGATAGTTGGAAGGAGTGAGGGGTGAGCACCCCTACTCGCTTCGAAAGCGCTCCCCTCCATATTGATTAGTGCGCGCGGGCCGGCACGGCAATCCAGAGCGGAGCGAGCTGCGCTACGCGCTGTCAACACGGGTTGGTGAGCTCGAAATTCGGCCGTGCTCTCGTCTCTCTCTCCTTTCGAAAATTGAAGGAATGGGGTTGGAGATTAGGAGAGAAGTCGATCCGAGAGAAAGTTGGGCGATGGTTTGGTGCGATACGGAGATATATGCAAGTGGATCTTTTTTCTAAAAAAAAAATAAATAATAAGAAAACTCTCCTCGAGAAGATGTCTCAAGAGTGTGATGATTATGCACGAGTTGTGTCGTAATTGTGACGTAATATTTGAGAAATTAAGTTTAAATTTTGGAGAATTAGGTAATGATCTTTCTTGTAAGATATCTCGTGACGAAAAAGAACGAAGGATGTGATTCGTATTGGAGTTGCTTTAAGTGAAATGTTCGAATTTGTTACACAGAATTATTCGATGCTTTTTGAATGATAAAATTGTTCGAATAATTTTATTTTTTTAATCTAAAAAATTTATCCAACCATCTCTTCGCTTTTTCAAACTAGTTATCTATAACATTTGATCGTAAGAGCGAGAAGAATTTTGATGCGTATATGCATATGTTAGTTTTATACGTGAAGAAAGTTACAAGATAGAAATGGCATTTAAATTGCAACGAAGCGGTAGAGACATTAAGAATAAAGTTAGTTCAATGAGCTATTTGAATAATTTATTATTCAAAGCGTAGAATAACCGCGATAATTATGCAGACATTAATTAAAGTAGTTATAGGAATAAACGTTATTCGAGCATTTTAAACGAAATTATTATTCAAAATAAATTTAATCATTATTAAATTAATTTTTGAAGCTTGTCGTAACTCGAATACTTTTATTTACTACGATTAAAGTACAAAATTTTCGAACCTTAACCTCTTGAAAAAAAATTTGAAAAAAAGTCGAGGTTAGGTTCCAGAGATGGATAAAATTTTAACGATTAAAATTAAATTGAAAAAAAAAAAGAGAAAAAATACTCAAACAATTTATCATTCAACGCGTAGAATAATGCTGCGCTCAACTGCAGCGAAAGATTATAAATTATACAAAAAGCAGTCAACTGTACAAATTTATATCACGTACAAGTATATAAATTCGTTAAATGAATTTATTATCGTAAACCAACTTTTTATTCGTTTATTATTTTAACTCTTAAATTTTCAAATTAATTTTTCCAACTTGTTCCACCACCAATTTTAAGGTTAGGCTCGAAAAATTTGCTTCTGTAACGAATAGAGAGAGGATCTCGGTGAGTGGCTTGTAATTTTGTAAACGGTATTTTTATTTCTCGATGGAAGGGAAATATTGGATAGCAATATTGATGTTTGAACGCGATAAATAAAGATTTAAAATTGTTATAAATTAAATATCGTTTCAAACCCGTATCGTGGATTGGAATATATCAAAGAATCGTGAGTACAGCGAAATTTGAAGAGTTTTGGAACGCTCTTAATTAAGGAGGATGGAATATTCTATTGATTGAAATAACAACATTAATCGGATTTGAATGAAGAAAAGTTACTCGTTCAATCTCTTTCCAAAATGTTCCCCTTCCGTCGAAAAATTGAGCCAGAATAAAAGTTGCATCGATGAATTTTCCAATTTATAAAATTGATTTTTTTTTTTCTTTTAATCTAATTTCACGTGTAATCGATCGTTTTGTTCAATTCGTTCGAATTGTATTTTTTTTTTTTTTTTTTTTAATCAATTATCGGAAGATTGCTTTTTCGATAGAAAATTAACGATTCTTGATGTACAATAGGCGAGGTAATTTATTCGTTTTATAAAAAAAAACGTTCGAAAAATGTTCTTTCGTTTATTTATTTTAATTTTCTCGATTTTTAAGTAAGTTTTTAAATTCAATAAGTTGAAACATCCCCTAACATTAATAACAAAGAATTGTACACTTGAAAAACAATATATCTCTCCCTCCTCTTACAAATTTTTTCCACGAGAAATAATTCACGATTTATCCGAATCAATCGTGTTACGAGAGATTCGCCCTGTATTATTTTTTCAAATTATCCGTATATGACCCGTTGGAAAATTCATAAATATCCAAACCTCTCGAAGGGGAGAGGGGAACGATCGCCATTTTTCCACCAGGCGAAAACTAACCGAGAAAACTTTGTCCATAGCCTGAATCACGGCCAGCCGTTCCTCCGACTAATGAAACCATTTATCGACAGCCAGCCAATAAACCGTCCCTATAATATGAAAATTTGCACGGGTAAACAGCAGCAAGTGTGCGCATGCGCACTCGCGCCAGCGCGTATGCAACCACCGAGGTTGGTCGCAGCTGCAGTTTTATTAATCGGTCCCAACGTTGTTACGCCATTAAGGATTGGCGCCCTTGATTCTCGATTCCCGTTTTTTTAATCGTTCGTTTTTTACGCCATATAAACAAAAAGAATCGAATAATCGTTGAACAATCGATNACAGCAGCAAGTGTGCGCATGCGCACTCGCGCCAGCGCGTATGCAACCACCGAGGTTGGTCGCAGCTGCAGTTTTATTAATCGGTCCCAACGTTGTTACGCCATTAAGGATTGGCGCCCTTGATTCTCGATTCCCGTTTTTTTAATCGTTCGTTTTTTACGTTACGTTTTATATAAACAAAAAGAATCGAATAATCGTCGAACAATCGATGACGCGACAAATCGAATGATTATTCGATGGAAATCAAACTTATCGCCCGTTTAAGAAGCCAGGTATCCACAATGAAATTTCAACTCGTGAGAATTCCACTTATGAATATTATGAGAGTACTATTCGCAAATGGAGGGGGAGGAGGGAGGGGGAGGAGGGAGGGGGAGGAGGGAGGGAGGAAGAGAGAGAGAGAGAGAGAGAGAGAGAGAGAGAGAGAGAGAGAGAGAGAGAGAGAGAGATGGTCCACCACGAACGGTGAGGGATGATGAAGAAAAGGGTTGGAGGGTCGTCGACCTCTTCGTTAAAACCATCCCCTTCCCGATGGATGGGTCGAGAGTGGAAAGAAAATCAAGTGCATCCGCTCGAAGGGGATTACACGGTCTCTAGGGTTCCGCCGACCTTCTTCCGAATGCATATCTCTCCCCCTCCCCTGGTGAAAGGACAAGGGGGAGAGCTTTCACTTTCATCGGCTTCGAAAGCCTCGGCCGGCAAACTTAAAGTCGCGCGATTCTCCCGCGGTTCCCCCTCCCCCCCTGGCCTCGTGCCGAAAACACCTTTTCCGTGGACGTGAATGAACACCTCCTCCTGTTCCGCTCTTTAACCCTGTTCGAAGAGAGAGAGAGAGAGAGAGAGAAAAAAGAAACGAAAGAAAGTGGAGAAAAAGTAGAAAGAATGTTTCGAGAACGCTGGGATTGAAAAGGTGTTGGAAAAAAAAGGTGTTGGATCGAGTATTGAAATACCGAGAGGTTTTTAAGTAGTACGAATCGATGATAATCGAGCTTAATTCGAGTTTAGTCGAAGGCGATGATACAATAAAAGGTAGTAGTCTCGTTGGGAAATGATACAGGTGCGGAGGCAATGGAAAAATGGAGTGGCTCTATAATATCCGCGATGACCAGTTGGCTCGGATGGTAAGAAGTTTATAGGGGGATGAAGAGTTCGTTTATTGGGTCACCGATTGGACACTATCCCTCCGGCGATGTCTACAAGTAGGTATTGTGTCTGTTCGACGCTCGAGATAAATATTGGAAAGTATCGAGGGATCGAGTGCGAGTAGTGTTGCTCTGTAATGTGCGCGACCGATTGAAAGTGGTATTGGCCGACGACGATTCCGACATGAAGGGATTTATAATTAACTGACGTCTTGAACTTTACATAGTAGTATATAATATTTTGTATTGATTTGTAAGTATTGTTTGATCACGGTTTGGTGAAATTTATAATTAACGTTGACTCTATAAAATCTCGTTCGTTGGCTGATAAGATCGATCGAAGGGAAATTTGTAATTAACATTATAATATGATTCTTGATTGAAAGTAGTATTGGTCGATGACAACTCGGACAGGTGGATATAATTGACGTTGACTAATTTTGTAAAATCTCGTTCATCGACTACAAATAATATTGATCGACGAAAATTCAAACACATTTATGATTAATTAACGTCTTAATTCTTCATTACGAGTAGTATGATCGTCCATCGACTAGTATTGAC